ATCGCTTTGTTTTTCTCACAGCAGTATCGCGCCCAAAGAGTGTTCAATATTTTCATTGTTTTGAATTTTTCCAACCTTTAGAGGTCAATGACTTTTTACCTGTTACAGGTAAGGTTGCGAAGATGCAGACTTTTTTATGTAAAATTGTAGCCGCTACAACTTTTGTTTAGAATATTTTTTTATATCTGTTATAGTTCTCGAAAAAAATGAGAACAAACATGAAAAAATGCATAAGAAAGCGTTTAAAGGGTGATTTCAACCCTTGCCCGGTGTCGGAGCTCACTTTTTTTAGGGAAAACTAATTCTACATTCCTTACAAATATTCTATTGAAATTACATCCATTTCAAGATTTCCCGATTCAAAATCTAATATGACTGGACTATAAATCTCAATTCAATAAACTCTAACAATCTCAGAAAGTATAAGAATGTAAACAAGCAGGGTAACAAAACCAATAAAAAGAGCGAGGTGTTGTTGAACAAACAAATAAAAGTATCAAAATCGAAGTCAAAAAAACGTTTCCAATATGAAAAAACTGAGAAAGGTCCCTTCATAGTGCAACTGATGAGATAAAAGAAAGATCAAGAAACGAATGTGAAGCCTGTAATGGCATTAAAGGTGGCTCGTCTATTGTACCCAGGAAAATTTTTTTAGATATAATACTTCAAAGAAGAGACAGAATAATTGTCATTTGTAAAGATATAAAAGTTAAAATGCAACTTAGAAATTATGTTTTTATCATAAAGTCTTTTGCTTGACACCATGTTTCATATTTTTCATGGTCTCCAAACACATGATCGGCAATACTAAAAAGAACGAGTGAAGTAGCCTTTGAGTCATGTTTGGTCTGATCAAGTGCATAATTGAAACACTTCTGTAGATATGGAATGACATTAGATTTTTTTTAAATTTTATATACTCTCGCAATGTCATGTAGTTGTCCAGTAAATTTTTTTCTAACATGGTTAGAATCAGATAATTTAATAATGACGTGAGAAGATTTTTGCTGCACAGCAGCATATGTAGATAAATCATCATTACCTATAAGTGTACCAACGAGAACATGAGATTTATGAAAATCAGGATTTTCTACCATTTGCTTAACAGCCATGGCCGCTTCTATAGCTTTCGAGCTTCCTCTCCAATTCTTGGTACAGTTATGGTCTGAAGTATCATGCTCACGCGAACACATAGCACATGCTGTGCTGAAGGTACCTGCAGCTAATAATTTTTTTAACTACGCTCCGGTAACAGATTCTTTTTCCATCTTATTGTCAAAGCCTCGTTTAGACCAATCAAAATGATAAGTCACGGTTAACTCTTGCATACGTAGTTCGGAATTTCTTTTTTTACCTTTGATGATTACTGTATAGGAAGATTGATAAAGTTATCCTGAAATTGGAAATAATTATGTTCATTTATTCTGACCTTATCATAATCTTCTTTGTTCTTACTTGAATAAGAATGTATTGGTAAATCATTTCTGTCCACAAATCAATTATTTTTATCAGAAACTGTAAGATCATTACTCACAAAACCCTGTTTTATCCGGTGAAATTTTACCATTTTCTATAGCATCACTGAGCAATGCTACAAATGATAAATATTCATTTGGAATTGGTTTATAGTTACTAATTTCTTCTTAGAGAGCAGCCAGAGAAATATTTGCCTTCAGAAAAAGTTCAATAGAAAAATATAAATTTTAATCGTAATTGAGAATAAATATTGTAAGATATTTGTATGTCGCTATCTAATGATTATTAGACTAACGACAGCTTGTTAAGTTGACGACGATTGCTTGACGATTAGGTTGTTTATAGCAACGAGGGGAGAGCTTGTTTATCTTCAGTTTTTGACTGATACTTGAGTTGACCGCACGGATACTTCCATTTTAATTGATTGCTGTCATTCTTTAATAAACTTTTCCTTTATCATTTTATTTTCCGAAGTTGTTGTTTGGTCTTATTTTACATTGGTGTCAGAAAGTGGTTCGTTTCGCGTGCCCCGAATATTTTTGTTCGTGAATTTTGAAGAATACTTAAAAAATCATGCCAAAGAATCTAAGCCGTAGGCAAACTCGAGCCGGAAGAAGGACTCAATTTGCCGTTTGTGTCGAAGAGGGGACCAATGAAGAATTTCTAGCATTAGAGATAAGAAACTTAATTACTACTATTAATAGTAATAACAATGATGATAATAATTCAGAAATTCATAATTTAGAAAATAGTTCTAATAATTTGGTTGGATCGGTCTCAACTTCGTCGGTTAATTATAGTTCGTTAGCTTTCGCGATTATTTTAGATTAAATCCATAGATTCGATCCAATTTTACTTTAAAGTGAAGGAAATCGCCTCAAGTTTTAGTTATTTTTGGAAAATCTTTATGCATCGAAAATCTACTTGAAGATGTCGTGTTTCAAATTTCAGAAAATCTTGAATGGTCGTTTTTAAGTTATTGTATGATTAGACTCGCTTTGTATGATGATAATGAATCATTGTTGATTCTTTCTGGATTCCTAATTTCTGTTGAATTCAGGGTTTTTGTAACTTTCAGTCTGAGAACGTTGGCTCTCATTGATCATTTGATTGTTGATTTAAATTCACAATGTCAGTCCTAGAGCGTTCTCGTGGAGTTACTTAAGGACATACACGGTTGGAGTCATTGTACCGGAATCCTTTCTTCATTTATTGGCAAAGTGAAGCAAAGTGAGGTACTAGATGTCCATGGTATCCTATCATGTTTGTTCGAATAGTATGCGTAACTGTGAGCCCAATTTTTAAGAATTTAGTTTGCACAGTGAGCAGAAGCTATTAAACTTATTTTTGAAAATTCCTTGCGCAAGGTGGAATTAAATCGATTGTTTTAATGATATTGAATCATTTATTTGAGAGTCGGATTTTATTTAAAAAGGATGCGAAGTCGAAATTTATTTGGAGAATTGACTCTATGAAATGTGACCATTTAACCTAATTATTAATTGAACATTGAATTCATGATTGAAAATGAAATTTTTAAAGAACTTTGATTCTGTGAGGAACTTTTATTTTGTTTAGTTCCATGACCTTCCAGTTCTTGGCATTTCCTAAAAAGAATTGAAGATGAAAATTTAGATTTTCAATTTTTAATTCGACTTACGGACGATTAGTTTTTAAGGAATCTCTTAATTGTATAGAATCACGTTATTAGTTAATTTATATTATTTTGGCCTGTTTTCGAGGTTTTTACCCGCCGCAGGATTTTTCCCTCCGGAATAATTTGTTCCATTTATTTTTTAGCAGGCAGAGTTGAGAAGCGGCAATATTGGAATCTAGGCTGAATGATTAACAATTTGATTTTCATAATTTCGAATTATAAATTTAATTTTAGATTTTTCATGTTATTTATTTCAGCCTTATCTAATATTTTTACCAGGAATTGTCAGGTGGCAATTTTTAGAAGATCGGGAGAAGTGTAAAATATTTGTATGTCACCATCTAATGACTATTAGACTAACGACAGTTTGTTAGGTAACGACGATTGCTTGACGATTAGATTGTTTATAGCAACGAGGGGAGAGTTCGTTTATCTCTAGTTTTTGACTGAGACTTGAGTTGACCGCACGGATACTTTCATTTTAATTAATTGCTGTCAATCTTTAATAAACATTTTTCTTTATTTATCAATTTTCCGCAGTTGTTGCAAATCTTGCACTATAAAAAAGAAGTTTCTTTTGACATTGGTATTCAGGAACTAAAATATATTTATTTACTAAGAATCAAAGTCATTTCTTAGAAAAACTTTTTGCACACGTTTATGAGTTTGCGATTTTTCAATGTGTGTTTATATAGTGTTTTTTAGAAAAAAATTATAGAAGTATCTATTAGTTTTTTTTTAAATTCCAGTTTATAAATTACTAGCAGATACCCGCCATTTTGTCCGCATAATGTGTACAACCACGTTGGAAGAACTTAAATTTATCAAATAGATCTCGTTTTCAATTGTTCATAACGTATTTAATTGTTATAAACAGACGGAGTATATGTCTAATTTATGTAACACAGTTGGTAACATTTTCCCAGAAGACGAAAAAATTACGCGTTAGAAGACCTCAAATATCTTGCATGGAACCCGTGTTCAATTGTTTATGACAAATTAAATTGTTATAAACAAAAAGAGTAGGTTTTTGTTCATATTACACAGTTTGTGAATTTGTTTTAGTAAAAGAAAAAATTATGCGTTGGAGGAACTGAAAAATGTTGCAAAGGATCAGTTTTTAATTGTTTATAACAAATTTAATTGTTATAAAGTCTCTTGTAAATAAGACCAGTTCAGTTTTGCGAAGATCGACCCTAAGCTCCCGTGAGGTTCGTAAAGAGTTCCCTCACTACCAGGGTCCGTAGCAGGGGAGATAGCACACCTCCCTGCGGACTGCCCCGGGCAACTGCAGCTCGAACCTCCGTACCCTTCAATGAGCGATGGCCGTTCTATTGACGAGTAAGTTCATGATCCATTGTGCAAGCGTAGTGTCTGCTCTGAAGTTTCGAACTGCCTCGCCCATAGTTTCGGATAGGGTATTCGTATGCTCTCAAAGAGTCCCGACAAAGATGTAGCAGATCCCAAATCATATCGACCTATATGTCTTCTATCAGTACTAGGCAAAATCTTCGGAAGACTTATAAAAATTTGTCTTTCAACGAGCATCCTTAAACAAGAAAACATTACAGATCACCAATACGGATTTATGGAATAGCGATCAACGGTAGATGCAATACTGATAGTGCAAAGAGCGATGCAAAAGTCCACAGAACGTAACGTGGTTGCATTGCTCTTCGATATCTCAGGTCTTTAGTCCTCGAAGGACTGAAGTCACGAAACTGTGCTAAAAATATCTACAAATTAATGCAAAATTTCTCCACAGATCGTGCAGTTAGCCTATCATGGGGAACCCGGCTCAGTCACAAAAGTTGCCACGCGTGGATGCCCTCAGGGATCTGTGCTTGGCCCACTGTGCTAGAACATTATGTTCGATGATCTGTTAAAAATACTTGATCAATCTGAACATGGAAAACGCTATGCAGCGTACGCTTCAACATCTTCTACAAGTAATTTTCAACCTAAAATAGATACAATTATGAAAACAATAGCTTCATTTCAATCAGGTAAAAACAAATGTGATATCACAAACGCTTTGATATTTATGATAGTCAAAGATGACATGCGTCTGAGTACAACAGAAAAAACTGGGTTCAAACATTTTATGAATGTTGTTGCTCCACACTACCAGCCTCCTTTACATAGAGCAGTAACAGATTGTGTTGATCGTAAATATAAAGTTCATTCAAGAATCGTTAAGGAGAAATTGGAAAATGCATCCTACTATACATTAACAGCTGATCTATGGACTGAAACGAATACAACAAGTTTTTTGGGTATTACTATTCATTTTTTAGAGAATACAAGGTTAAAATCTCTAACCCTTGGCATCACTGAACTTCAAGACCGTCATACAAGTGAAAATTTACAATGTGAATGTAAAAATATTATTGAAAATTGGAATATTTCATTGAATAAAGTCTCAGCTATAGTGACGGACAATGGACCAAACATTGTTAAAGCTGTTTGTGATACGTTTGGTGAAGTAAAGCATATAGCCTGCTTTGCTCATACTTATAATATAGTTCTACATTCAGCTATAGCCAAATCAGCGCATCTCAATGAATTGTTAATGAAAATTAAATCAATCGTGACATATTTTAAACACTCTGTCGTTGCTTCAGATGCTCTGAAACCAGCACAAACTTCATCACAACCATTGAGACCGATTCAGGATGTATCAACAAGATGGAATTCTACTTTTTTCATGTTATACCGATTCATTGAAATAGTTGAGCATATTAGTACTGTGTTATTGAAGTTCCCAAAATCTCCTCCAATGTTGTCTGCATCGGAAATTGAAGTTTTACGAGAAATTATAGCTATTTTAAAACCCATGGAATTAGCAACAACAGAAATGTGTGGTCAAACATACACAACATGCAGTAAAGTGATTCCAATTTTGTGTTGTTTGGAAAAAAATTTTAAAGCAGCCTGTATGACATCACCGATCGCTATTCAACTTCGTAATGATATTCTCGACCAACTGGAAATCCGATTTCGGAATATAACTAAAAGTTATATACATAGTGTGGCAACAGTTCTTGACCCACGTTATAAGAGAGTAAATTTTAACAAAAATTGCGGTGATGCTGCTTTAGCATTTATAAGAATTGATAAAGAATGAAAAACATTCGAAAAATCAGTTGATGATTCGAATTTAGGTCCAAAACAAGTGAGCACAGATCATGAGTTATGGAAGTTTCATGTTGAGCTTGTCAATAATCATGATCATGACAGTGAAAACAGATTTGGTTCATTTGGACTCAGTAATTGTTTGAAGAATTACTTTAGTCAGAAAATTCAACTTCTAAATACTGATCCTATTTAATATTGGGCTCATGAACAGAATACTCCAGAACTATCTCAGATAGCTCTTAAATATTTATCAATTGTAGCCACTTCAGCCCCGTGTGAACGACTATTTTCCATGGCTGGAAATGTGCAGACAAGGATACGCAATAGACTTACTGGTGAACACTTGTCTAATTTATTATTTTTAAAATCTTTGGATCTTTCAGACTGGATGCTGTAAAGAATTTTGGTTTTTAAAAAAAAAAACGTACATTTTATTTTATTTTAATTTGTTTAATTACAAAAGATACTTGTAATTGGGATAAATACTACTCAAAACTCGAAAATAGTCACTAAATGTAGTTTACCTATATATTATATCATTATAATAGTATTATCATTGTAAGAAAAACAAATATGGAAAATATATTGTTAATAAAAACTTTTATAATAGTTTTCATAAATAAAATGTTCTAATTAATGAATTTTCATTGATTATTAATCGAAAATTATAAAGAATAATTATTTGTCTTACAATTTAAATTTGAAAAAAATTTTTTTGATTTTTGAAGATCGATTTCTTTTAGAATCGATCTTTATGGCTTGATTTTTTTTAAAGATCGATTTGATGGTGTCGATTTGAATCGATCTTGGAAATCGATCTCACAGAGTTGATCCGGAGTCCCTAATTACGATAGAAAGTAAAAAAATAAAGTACTCAGAAGTGGTTAGGTACCTGGGTGTTTAGTTCGACAGAGACCTTAACATTTCCACACATATTAATAAATAACGGGCGCAAGCGGAAAAAATATTCCATAAAATGAGACGCCTTTGGCGAATGCGTTGGGGACTTACTTACCACACCTGTCTTACCACATATAAGGGGGTGCTTTCTGCCGGTAATTGCTTATGCGTCTCCGGCATGGAGAGATTTATGTAACGCTAAAGATTGGCTGACGCTTGCGGCCGCGCAGAGGAGCGTCTTGGGAGTTGTTGCACACGCTCGCGCATCTACCCCGAGGGACGGCCTCTGCGTGGCGGTGGGCATCCCGTCTATACGCATTGCAATCGGTGATCTCAATGCGCGATATACACTTCGTACCGACGAAGCAGTTACGTACAACAATGTTAGAATTTCTCTGAATGACAACACGTCGGAAGAATCGATGACGCCGATGACGAACCTCAGGTTGCAAACACTCAAAATATGGCAGGCAGAATGGGATGCGTCTGAGACGAGCCGCAAAACATACCAATTCTTCCCAAACATAACAGATAGGCTTGATAATAATTGAATACGCCTGAACAACCTGATGACGCCAATATTTACAGAACATGGTATATTTCGTGCACATCGTGCAAAACATGCCACCGAAACAGACCCAACCTGCCCTAATTGTAATAGGGGAGACGACGACACAGTGGAGCACTTCTTGCTGCACTGTCCCACATATAGAGACAAACGCACGGATCTCATATCGATCATACGTTCAGAAACGAACGTTGACCTTAGCCTAACATGGCGAGGGGGTAAGAGAAAAGAGGAGGGTAGCGCGAACGACTGCAGCAATGCCCAACATACAGAATCCTTCGCCCCGCAAAAGTAGTAGGTCGTTGCCAGCTCCGAAAAAACGTAGCTCGTGAACTTCATTGATCCACACTTGGGTGTTGTCGGAGCACCTAGGCACAGGTTGCAGGCCTGCAACGTTCGCAGAACACCTGTAACCTGCGGATCAAACGGATAGGGATTTTATTCTTCATGGACCGAAATCTAAGACCGCATCTGGGGCTGCAAAGTCGAAAAACGACATGTAGGACCCGAGTGCTTTCGGTCAATTGAGGCTGGACTCGTCGTGGTATGTTGCAAGGCCTTGGGCTAGATGCGTGTATCCTCGTGCCTTCTAAAGGCGCGAGAATATTACATCCCAAGTAACGCCGTCACTAGAAGTAAAATCATTCCCAGAGTTATGCCCTATAGGGCGAGGTACTCAAACAAAATGTCCTTCTCAGAACAGGGAAACAAGGATAGTTTCGGATGGGGTGTTATTGAACGCTGCCTCTATGTCCAAAAATATTTCGATTGCTGACTTTCCCGTCTCTAGGGCTCTCGGCAAGCCTCCTACGAGCTCGTGGAGGGCAGTCTTTACAGACTTGCCATTCTCATCTTCTAATACATCTCCCTCTAGAAAAAATTTTAATCCTGTTAGAAAATAGTTTAATGAAATAAAAATATTTATATGGTATTTTCCTGTAGAAAAAGTCTACTTCCCATTAAACCTCTTCGAATTTCTTCCCACAGAAATGCATGTAATTTCATTGGAGAATATTTTAACTACAGAAAAAAAACAAATGATCCTTCTTTCTATAAAAACTATCAATTACCTGTTAAAATGTTTGAACCATTTCTTATAGAATATTATTAAAGAATTCTATTGAAAAGTACTACAATAATGGAGAAATTTTGATGTACTTTTTTCCTTTAAAAATTACTCATTTTCTATTAATGAGTGTTCATACTTTCTAAAAATTATTTACACGATCTATGTTATCAATAGAATCAATTATGTTCATTTTGAATAAAACATGATTTATTGATGGTATTGAATGTTTTTCAAAAGTAAATATGAATATTATATTCGCGTAATCATTTTCTTTCATAGACCTCAAGACTTACAGACAGGTTACCATTAGAAAAGCTAAAGCTAGCAACTCAACATTTGAAATAAATAGAGATCGTTATAGCAATGATGTAATACCGGTCAGCCAGGACAATTTTGATGCAACATAAAACAATAAAATAAATATGGAAATTTCAGAGTATATGTCATCTTCGACAGACTATGGCACGGAAGAAAGCGAAGATCATTCTTTATGTGTGTTCTGACTTTGAGTCGGCTGAGTGAGAAGTCGGGACTTTGTGGACTGTATTTTTTAGGATGTTTGGATGCTAGAACAGTCGGGACTTTTGAACGGTGTAAATGAGTTGGCTGACACTATTTAACAGTAACAGTTAACGATTTATTAAACACTAAAATCACAGTAACAGAAAAATAACAATAAAAGAGTCTTTTAATTGTCTGTACAGTCTTGAGTTCACGGAAATTTCACACAGAGTTCACCGATGAGGAGAAGATCACAGGAAAGTTGTAAGTTTTCCTGTACTGGTCTCTGCACCAGAAGTAGCCTGATTTTTTTGAGTAGTCTGAGTTTCATTGTGTTGGTGTCAGCCACACAGACACAAGCGAGTTGTTCGTGTATGGATCTTGTGTGTGTGTCTGTCTATGAGGCCGTGAGGCGTCGAAGCCGACATCATTCGCGCCTTTTGTAAGAAGGTGCTGATGCGGACCAACATGAGCTTCCTGAGGATGTTTTCTAAGAGGTAGACTGCCTGATGAGTTCATAATCATCACTATAGATGATTAACTGGTGATTTGGTCCATGTCTGAGGAGTTATCTGGGTTTTCACTAGAGAGTTCGACTGCGTGAGCTCTCTGCTAGTACACACGTACCGAGTTGACTGTTACAACGAGTTGTCTGTGGGTGGGCATCGTCCGATGATGCCCAAGAGTCGTCCGAGTACGAGCTACGTACGAATACTCTCAGTAACCGGCGAATACTGAAGACTACGATCTGTGTTTCTCGAAAACTCTACGTTCTCGAAGCTTCTAGGCCCTTCGAGAAGGGATATATACGTCTAGGAATTAATTAGAGTTGTCTAATTGGCGAAAATGAGTTGGCAGGAGAGACCTCGAGTCATCTAATTATTCGGTGGGGAGAAAAATGTTCGGCCGTCAATAGAGTACCTTAGACCAAGACAGAACAATGTGCAATTCCTGTCATTAAGAATTTTAATGCGATACAAGATAATCACAATCATATAGAAATTTAGAATAATATGTTATTTGTTTAGAATGTGTAACTGAAAAAAGTAAAGATTATCCTTTTCACAAGATTTTTGAAAATGAACATTTGAGTGTGATTTAGAAAGATAAAAAAAAATGAAAATTCGGGAAAATATTCCATGTGCAAGAGAATACGAAACTGAAAAAAGTGATGATTATTGTCAAAGTGCATTTCGTCATTGAACATTTTAGTACAATCTAATACAATAATAATAACACGGAAATTTAAAGAGATTTATCGTTTGCCCAAAAACTTGTACCTGAACTGAATGAGGATCATCTTTGTAGTCCAACCTCTGTCATTGAAAATATAAATGGAATCCAGAAGAATGAAATGGGAACAAAGATAAAAGAAAATGTTTTATGTAAAGACAGATGTTACATTTAATGATGTCGTGCGGATCATAGTTTCTTATGACATAAGTTGATGTACAAGAGGTATCAGACTAAGCTCTGATAGTCTTTTTGGACATGGATCAATTATTGGTCTTTATTCTGGACGAGTTTTGCAGTATACTACTCGAAGTAGAAAATGACGTATGTGTGATGAAGAATTACAAAAAAATTTCACTGGCAGTGCGAAGGCCATGAAACCAAGTACAGCTGTGAAGGCGGTGACGCAAAACTTTATTTTAAAGAAACTAGTTAGAATATTAAATTATGGTCGTGCTTTTCGACAATATTTTGGTATTAATTCTCGAATTAATTCTAGAAACTTACTCCGTTCATTACATTACACTGTACTGACGACATAAGACTCAAAAAAAATTTTTTAAAAAAAAGTATTGGTGAAGAAATATAAAATTGAAATTTCCTGCTTTCCCGTGGCACATACAGCGTTACCGCTTGACAATGTAGTTAATGGTGACAACTGTGAGTTATGGATATCAACTTATTTACTTAAAACAGAAGAAAATTTCTAAAACTTTCT